AGGCCGCCCCGGGGAGGGCGGGCAGCAGCCCGGGGAGGCGGGGAGCGCTCCCCTGTAGCCGGCTTCCAGTTTCTGGTTGCCCAGAGCCGGGCTCTGGTTTAGTGTCTGGTGTCAGAGCGATATAAATAAAAACGTCAACAAGAGCGTTAGTATTCCCGAGGCTGCAAAGCTCTTGGAAGAGCCGCCGTGGTCACAAAAGTTAAGCTCCCAATATTTGCAGCTTATTTCTCTTGTTGATAACGTGCATAAGGGTTTCAGTGATGCATCATCCCGTGGCGTTGCTCTTTAAAAATTCCCCGTTGCCAGTCTCATGTGAATTCTCAGGTTCTCTCGCCGTAGGGATGAGGTAATGATGGTTGGAAAGAAAGAGATGATCCTTGAAGGAGGCTTAGTCAGCTTTATCAAGAGTCTGAATGTCAGAGACTAGCGTGAGAGAAAGGATTCAAACTAGGACTTAAACTTAGGTTATTTTATTATTAGGTTATTTAATACCTTAAATAATTAAATAACTAAAACGAGGCAAAACAAATAGCATATGTTTGAACCTCAGGCTTTCAGCACAGCTAGGTAGCATTAGCATTTACTTATAAAAGGCATCAGAAAATTGAGTAAAAGCCACTTATTCATGCTGCCTTATACCTGAGCAAACAAGGTACGAGTTCCGATATTAACCCCCCCGCGCTGTAGCACAAACGTGTGCCTGGGGTGAAGTTTGGACATTCAGTCCCCGAGCAAGAGCAGAACCTTGCCTATCTGGAGTGCAGTTGTTCAGATGCGAAGTAAAGGAAGGGGAGGGCTCCGCGTGGCTGTGCTTAGACATCAGCAGGATTAAGATAACACGTTCCCTGACCTGCAGCGGCCAGGATCTGGTTGAGATCAGTGCTGATGTCAGCATGTTGAAATCTTGAAAGCTCCCTGGGATCCTGGGCAGCTGAGCACTTAGAAAAAGCTCTTTGATACTTTTTGGCGCAGCTCTGAGCCTTGTTTTGTTTGTCCTTGTTTTTTTTTTTTTTTGTTCTTGCTTTGGATGATAGGGGCAGCAGGCCAAAACAAACAACACTTTATTACAAAGAACACGGCCAAGCTCGACCGAGAGACAGAAGAGCTGCACCATGACAGAGTTCCCCTGGAGGTGGGCAAAGTGATCCAGCAGGGCCGGCAGAGCAAGGGCATGACACAGAAGGACTTGGCCACAGTGAGTATGGCCCGGGACCCGCTGGCCTCTGCTCCCGCTCCCCTGCGGCAGGTTTAGGCACCGCGGGGCGAAGGTGGGCGCTTCTCCTGTCCCCTCGTGGGCAGCTGCGGTGGGATGGTATCACGAGCAGGAAGCTTGGTGAACGCAACGTCTGCGATATCTGATCTCCAGGCAACGTTAGTTAGGTAGGAAATGTTTTAGGGGTTTCTGTGCAGCCCTTCAGCACCTGCTTGGAGACAGAGCGTTGCTGCGGCTGCTGAGCTGGTAGGAGGCTTTTTTTTTCCCCTTCTCCCATCAGCTCAGCACCGACGTGAGGTTTTTTGTACCATCTGGGCCTGACACAGCATTCGGAAGCTGACTGCTGCCTTAAGGAGCAGCAGTGCGTAGTGTTACTGCTCCTGGGAGGCGGGGGGAGGTAGAAGTCTGTCCAGGATGGGTGTCGCCGTCGCTGGGACACTCGAATAGCGGAGGGAGACGATAGTGGTGATGGAGTAAGCCTGGAAGCAGCACTTTGTCTTCCAATCCTGGCATAATTGGAGGCCGTTACTTATCTGTGTGAGTACTGGGGGGTTGGTGCTGCGTGTTTGGTGGGTATGGAGCCGGTGTTTGAGACGCCTTCTCTCTTCGTAGAAAATCAATGAGAAACCACAAGTTATTGCCGACTACGAATCAGGAAGAGCAATCCCCAATAACCAGGTTATGGGCAAGATCGAAAGAGCCATTGGTAAGTTAAGAAAGGAGACTTCAGCAATAACGATAATGTTTTGAGTGCCTAGGAGGGGTGTTTTGGTTTACGTTACATTTTCCACGTCAGGAACAGTTGCTGGCTGTAGGTTATTGTGGGTGCGGTGTCATTAAGCCGTGTTCTGATAAAACTCGGATCTGCTGACTGAAACCAGAACTTAAAGCTCTCGTTCTTTGTTCTTCATCTTCGTGCGCGGGGCCGTGCCCTGGGGATCACCCCCGCGTGCTGTGCCCCCAAAATCGAGATACTGAGACCCGTGAAGGCCTGATTATACCTGGGAGGGTATCCTGCAGCCACTAGCGTCGATGTTACCCTCCTCGGCCGGCTCAGATACCGTTTTCTAGGAAGATAATCGGTGCACGAGCAAGAATTGGAGCTTTGAAACTAGTCTGGTGCTCCTAGAAACTGCAGTAGGATTCTCCCGAGCTCTGGTTCCCCTCCCCTCTTTTTTGGATGTTCTTTTCCTTAGAGCAAAAAAAAAATTGAGGAAATAAAGTTATCAGGTGAACGATCGAGTGCTGATGGCGGTCGTCTCCTTTGTCTTCTTCCAGGCCTTAAACTGCGTGGGAAGGATATTGGAAAACCGCTGGAAACCGGCCCCAAAGGGAAATGACAACAAAGCCTCGAAATCAGTTTGTTCAGACTGATCTCGTCTGGCTGGTTCTCCTTAGCCACCAGAATCTCTCTTCGTATTGCCAAGCTGACCACGAGGGTTTCAGACTTGCTTTGGGGGGGAAATCTGCCGAATCTGTACCTGCTGTAAAAGGGCAACCTTAAAGAAGCGATTTTCCTGATTTTGTTTTTCCTTCCTCCTTTCCAGAGATTGAGGAACTAAACCCAAAAAAATTCCGCATCTGATTTGCCAGAAAACTTGTGCGTCTTGGTGTTTAGAAGCAGCTAACGTTAAGACACTTGGGGTGGTCTGAAATGCGATCATTTAATTGCAACGATCGGGGGGACGGGTGGGATATCTTCTATATAAATAATTCGGGAGAGTTGGGGGTTGATCGGTGTCTGCCTTTGCAACGATGACTCAGTCACTGCATCACAATGACATTCTGGTTTCTTCCTTCCAGCCTGTTTTAAAGAGATCTATAATAAAGTTTGATACCCTTCAGTTGCACAGGGTAGTTGCTGCACGGTTACCAGCTGGCAGTCGATTTTTGGGTTGGAGCTGCAGCACCCTCTTCCTTCCGGATGCGTAAATTAGTGGGACAACCTGGCGCGGCTGGGGAAACGGCCAGCGCTGGCACAGCCGTCCTGGCTGCTCCGCTCCTTTCCCTGCCGGCGAGGACTGCAGCTCTGGCTGGCAGCCCAGAGATGAAATCAATACCGTGCTTTTATCTTGTGCGGAGGTGAGAGGAGCCTCTGGAGCTCTGCAGCGCAAGGCGGAGGGGGAGACACTCCGTCGGGCCTTTCTGTGAAGCCAGAGCCCTCCTGCTCTCGCCTCCGCCCCGACGCAGCTCTGCGGGGCGCTCGCTCCTGCGGGTGCAGTGGTGGAGCTGCGGGGGTGGCGCTCAGTGCCACCGTGGTGTCGCCTAAGCGGGGCAGAGCCGCAGGGAGAGTTGTCTGCGGCGGGGAAAGCGGGACGCCCTGCTCCCCTCCGGAGGAGCTCGGGGAGGGTTGAGGCGAGCAGGGTCCCTACCGGGCGGCCCAGAAGCCGAACCACTCTGTCGGCTGCGGTGCGTGGGTGGCCGCCGTGGCCGCGGGCTGCTTGGGGGGGGCACGGTGTTAAATTCAGTTTTGAAAGCTTGGGGGGGAAGAGGGGGGTCCTGGGCTTGGGGTGGCCTTGGGTGCAGGTGTGGGTGCCCTGGCCAGTGCCTTGGGGACGTTGTTCTTTTCCTGATGGTGTTTAAATGCAAATTATTATTAGGCACCCTTGAAAGGCGCGCAGGGGGTAGGTGGGCACCCGTACAGCGGGGTCGGGGCCGCCCTCTGCCCTGGGCGTGTTGCGCAGTGCCTGCCACTCTGCTCCCTGCCCTCCCCAGGCCGCCCCTCCAAAACCAGTGGAAGCACTGGGCTTCCTCCCCATGGTGGTTCCGTGCCCTGGGAGCCCCTGCGCTTCGTCCCGGGTGTAGGAAGGGGCTCGTGCCCCACGCAGCGCCTGCTGACTGCGCGCTCGGCCCCCTCCCACGGCCGCGAGCTGCCGGGACGAGGACGGCTGCTGCAGTAAACCCCCGCAGCCGGCGCCTGTCGAAGCACGGGCACATCGCTACGCCTTGGTGCAGAAAGTTCACGTTACAAAAGACAACAACGCTTTTCCCGAGCGCTTGGAGGTAGTGGAGGCAGCGGCACGTCCCGCTGCGGGGCCGGCGCCCCGGGGTGCGCGCCTGCGGCGGCTCCCCGCTGTCGGATGCCGAGAGCCGGAGGCGGCTGCTGGAGTGTGAGGTCTCGCTGGAGGGATGCGCTGCCCTGCAAACGCCTCGCAGGCGTGAGGAGGCAATTCCTGTTTCAGTCCTCGTCCCCCTCCGCTGGCACTGGAGATATGATGACCTTGTCCTGTAAAGAAGGGCGAACAGGAACTGGTTACGGTCAGCGCAGGCTGCGTCTGATTGGAAACACAAGGACTTCTTCCAGAGGGGAGAACCCGTGCGCTGGCCCGCCACAACCCCAGCGTAGGAACCAAACCCCCCAGCGCGCCGGGGGGGCTCCGCGTCCTCTTCTGGGGTCGGTCCTGGGGCTGGCAGCTCTGCCGGGGACTACGTGGCACCAAACCCACCAAAGAAAACCGCAGCTTGAGCTGCCTCTCGCGGTTTTAAGTTGCTGGCTCGAAGAGGAGGAGCGACGTTTGCATGCCCCGCTCCCCGCAGGGCTCCGGGAGGAGGATCGCAGCCTCAGCTCTTTCTGGAGCGGCTGCCTGATGGCAGCAGCAGCATTTCTAGGTCAGTCCTACAGCTCGGGTCACTCTTTTGCCGGCAACCAGATAAGAGGCAGAGCCCTTTGCACCTCCCGGCCGTGTTGGCAGAGCGCGGGCTCAGGGGGAGCCAGCCGGGATTTGCTGAGCTTTTAGGAAAATGCTGTTTTGGCGCGGTTGGGGGCAAGCGGGAGAGCCCTTCGCCCCGTCCTTACATCTCGAAACGTGATGTTGTCGAAGCCCTGGGGAGGACCGCTCTCCGCTGGTGTCCCGCTCGCCAGCCCTTGCCGCTTCAGCAAGTACCAGCCTCCGACAGCCACCAGCACCAGGACGATGATGACCAGGAGAAGGCTGAGCGCCACCTCTGCCACAAAGCCGCTGGAGGATTTCTCTGCGGGGAGAGGAGATGCTGCCGGGCTCGACCCACTGCCCAGGAGAGCTGCCTCCAGCCCCCACCTCAGCGCCAGCACCCCGAGCGGCACCGGGCTGACCATTCACAGCCAGAACCGGCCCCGCACCTTCCACGGGCACCTCCGGGCTGGAACGGCAGCCCCCCGCGGCGCTGTACGCGATGTCGTCCAGCGCCACCGTCCCCTCCATCGGCCACCTCTGGGTGGTGATCTCAAAGATGATCTGCGGGGGAAGATGGGATGCGGGGGCAGGGGGTGATGCATGGGGAGGGCACCCCACACCCCCAGAGGGCACCCCGCACCCCCGGAGGGCACCCTGCACCCCGGGGCCGCCCCGCTCACCTGGAACTCGCTGGGGCTCCACACAGGCACCACGCCGTCCCGCCAGCCCCGGCTCCGGTGCCCCGCCACGCTCCACACCGTGCGCTGCCCCGTCGCGCTGCGCACCATCACCCGCAGCTCCCCGCTGGCTGCAACGTGGGGGGGGACAGGGGCCCTGGCATCAGGGGCCACCCGGAGCCCCCCAGGAGCCACCGGGCCCTCCCGGCCATGCCCTCCTCCCCTGCAATGGCAGCACCCAGCGGGAACGGGCCATCCCCAGCACCTGGTCGGAGCTGAACCAGAGTGTCCGTGGTCCCGTGGGTGGGGAGGGGGTTTGCAGCCCCTGACCAAGCCCCCCGCTCCTATCGTGGGCTCATGACGCCCTCCCCAGGGACAGCACCTCCTCCCTGCCCCCGCAGCGCTTACAGAGGTGCTCCGGGATGTCCATGTGGTACCAGAACCGCAGGCAGGAGTCGGCAGCAGCAGGCAGGTGCTGGCTCTCCAGCCGGGCAGTGATGCCCCCCGGGCCCAGCACGCTGGTGTCAAAGTGCACGTAGTGACCTGGACGGGCAGGGACAGAGCGCAGGGTGTCCCCCAGTTCTGCAGCCCACCCCGCGCATCCTGCTCCCCCCAAAATGCCCAGAGCGGTGCCAGGAGGGTTGCACCCCCCCAGTCCTGCTCTTCACTGCCTTTGGGACCGAGCTGTCCCTCTCAGGTGATGCTGTGCAGCCAGGCCCCCCGGGACGCACTGGGTGGAGGGGGGACATTCATGGGCGACCCCATCCATTTCCAGCTCCTCTTCCTCCCTCCGGCCATGCCAGGGGGCCCTGGGAGGGATGGGTGGCTCCTACCGTTCCTTGTGCCCAGGGTGTGATCCTGCTCGGGGCCAGGGTACTTGGCAAGGGGGACCCCGCTTTTTTTCCAGCCCCAGGCGAAGCCGTGCAGGCGGGGGTCTGCGGGGCTGCTCCAGCCGCACATGTCCCGCTCGAAGTCACAGGACACTGGGAAGAAAGGGGGGGGGCTGTGATGCACCCAGCGCTGCGGGCACCCTGCACTGCCCACTGGGGGACGGGGGGGCAGCCCCCAGCCCCCTCCCCACTGCCCTCAGCTTTGGGCCAGGCCAAGCTCAGGGCAGGAGCAGGGTGCCCGGCGGCCACGGCAGAGCCATGCTGGATGGGACGGGCGGTCCCCATCCCCATGGCCGCGTGCCCCCGGGGGGTGCCCATCTCCCCCGGCCAGGCCACGGTGCCCCCGCAGTGCGGGCTCTCACCTGGCTCGGGGCAGGCTCCGTCCGACACGTGCAGGTCGTCCAGCGCGATGTACCCGTGGTCGCCCCCAGCTCCCACTGCCTCGAATATCGCCTGCCGGAGGGGTGGGCAGGGCGGCACTCGGAGGCTGGCAGCCACCATGCTCCCCTTGTCACCCCCAGTCTGTCCCCCTCCCCACCGCGAGGTCCCCGGCACCCTGCCCCGTCTCACCTGCCAGTCCCCATCTGGCCGGACGGTGACGTGGCCGCGGTGCCAGGCGTCCCCCTCCATGGCGCTCACACCCATCACCTTCCTCCGCACCCCGCTCTGCTCCACAAAGACGCCGAGGGAGCCTGCCCAGGGTCACCCGCCATGGAGGGGGGGGTCCGGTGCC